GAAAATAGATGGATCAAATATCAAAAGAACAATTTGATGAATATATTCTTTTAATGAGGTCTTTATCCCTGGTAGAGCTTCGGGTCCCACAGAGAAGGTCCATTCAATCATTTATTCTGGCATTTGCTGGGATAATGTAGACAAAATAAACAATATTGATGAAAGCAATTTAGTGAAGTAGAAATGTTGTGTCTTGCCTGAAAATCTTTCTTGTCAGAATCCATCATGTACATTTGTAAATCTATCATTTGACTGTACATTGAATACTGTTGTCATATTTATTCTGGTACTCCTGATGTATATCTCGAGATTTTTGACAAAATTCAAAGAAAAGTCTGCAATGTAATAGATCCTGATCTGGCATCTCAACTTCAGTCACTTTCTAACAAATGTAACATGGTTTCACTGTCTTTACAACAAAGATTTTCATGACAATTGCTCTGATGAGCTTTTTTCCATAATGTCTCAGTAGCATGAATTTAAGTGTATTACTAGATTGGAAACTAGATTTCACTCTTTTATTATTGAACTAGCTAAATTCTTTATTTCTCTTCTAACAGTTTCTTTTCTTGCACTTCTCTTCTGTGGAATGCCCTTCTGAATTTCTTGCTTCCCTGCAAACTACAATCTACAAACAATGAAATGCAATGTCAATCACCATCTTCTGTCTTCTTGAACTCTGTTCCTTTATTGACCTTTCTTCACTTATCCTCAGTAAAGTTGTCTAATTCCATTTTAGTGCTTGTAATCCCCAGCAACCTAGTGGCATTATAAGCTTGGTTGGGATGAAATGATTAAAAAAATATATATGGGTTTAATATCTATGTACCTGATTAAGGGAAAAAGATGTGTACATTTAATAGGGAGATGAGGAGAAAGAATGTATGTCTAAAGTATTTCTTACCAAATCGTGAAATCATAAGAGGAAATACAACTGTCTTGGAGAATATCAAGTTTATATTATGGATAATACACATTTGTGTGTATATATGTGTGTGTGTGTGTGGTTTGAAACTTACAGTCACCTTGCAGTGTTGATTTTTGTGTCCACATTGTCTGAGCCCACAATCAGCATCTCCAATACTATACAAGTTTTCCCCTTAAGTTTAGGAAATTTTAAATATATTTATATATATATATATATATATATATATATATATATATATATATATATATATGACTCCCAAGAAGATGCTTCCTCAATACTAATCTTAACTTTTTCAAGGCTAGTGTTAGCTGTAATTTAGTTCACATATCCCCATAAATTGTCCCTCTTTGTAAGCTTCTTTATTGAGTAGCGCTTGGGGGCTTATACAGAGTCGACATTATCAGGTAAATATATATATATATATATATATATATATATCAGTCAGTTATGTGCCATGCATGATACATGCTTAGCCAATCATGTATCTTTCAATACATGACTGACGAGGCAGATTTTTTTCCTGCAGTAGGTTCCCATTTCTTTTTGCAGTAGATCAGTTGCCATCCAACGCTATAGAACCCGGTCTGCCCTGCTATTTACCTATGGCTGGGGGTAGAAGAAGAGGATTCATACCTTTCCAAAGGGTATTAGCATGTAAGTGAATGTAATGGATCTGACTGGAATTCAAACTCGGTCCTCCGATTTCTCAATCTGAGCAGGTATCCATGCCTCCTATATATATATATATATATATATATATATATATATATATATATATATATATATATATGACTAATAAAGCACTAAGATTGCTTAATCACTGTACCTTGTCAGTCCTCTTCAAAGAAGTTGTGTGTTTATTCATAGACATTCATATGTATTTATTAAATTTAATCACAATTCAGACATCTACAAAAAAAAGGAACAGAAAGGTTTATATCTAAACTTCTCTATACATAAAAACAACATCATTCATATTACTTTTGTTTTATTTTTAATCTGAAATTTCCCAGTTCTATTTCTTCTACTATAGTATAGCATTACTAATCCTGACCAAATATAGTCATTACCAGTAATATTTCCTTGCGTTTTTGTTGTGATTGTTCTTCTGCAGTTTTTCATTATTTAGCTATCATCATCAGCAGCAGCAACAACAACCACCACTGCCACAACAAAGAGAACATAATGAAAACAATATCATTATAAATTTTGAGAAGTTTTCCTAATATATCAATATGATATTAATATATCCATATGAATACAGTCCACTCTGGTTGGATCTTTCTTTAAAACCAATAAAATTAGCTTTATAAATCATGATGTTTGGAAATCCAGCTATATTTTGAGTTTCTGATATCAAACTTTTCTCTCTCTTTGTATTTCTTACTGCTCTTTTTTTTTCTTTTTTCCCCCTCTTTTACTTTATTTTTTTCTTCATCGCTAATTCTATTATTATTATTTTTATTGTCGTTTGTTTCTTAGAGTGATAGTATTTTTTCATCTTATTTTCTGTTGGTAATTGTTATTAAAATCTCATTTCATTTCCAAAGTTTTAATAACTTAATTAATCCATGCATTAATTACCATTGCCAAGGCTATTGTAAACTATTTAATATAAGATGGAATGAAATTAAAAAAAACCTAACCTGTGCTATTATGTTAACTTTTATAAAATGATAGTAAAAAAAATTTGCTGTAAATCTTTTAAGACTATTATTTTGATTTTGAATAATGCTATTAAATCTTTCAAATAATTCCCCAAAGGAAAAGTATTTAGAAACAAAGTCACTCACCCAGTTGTAAAGAGGTGAATTTAATGCAAGCTTTGTAAAATTTATATTAAAAAATATTCATCAAAATTTACTTTTTTCTGAGGTTTACAAAGTTGAAACAATTTTGGTAATTTACATCTCTGCATATTTTTGAAGGTAGATAATTATTATATTATATGATTATTATTTAACATAATAATTCTATTTTTATTATATTATATGATTATTATTATCATTTAACATAATATTCTATTTTTTTTTTCTTGGTACCAAATGGAGACAACTCTTTTTCTGTAATTCCAAATAGTTTATTTATATTTTGTAATATTTTTCTTTTTTTCAATCAGTATCACATCAAACAAGGTAGTAAAGCCACTAAGACACAAGGGGTTACAGGGTGTGGAGGAATTAGAAACAGAAACATTAATAATAAGTGTGAAGAATAATCAGGAGGACAGTAGACAATGATTGACACTGAATTAAAATTTTTGTAGATTAAAGTTGGCTGGAAAGCATGGAGCTGGAAGGGAGTGCCACAAGCAAAAATTGTGGGAAAAGAAACTTTTAGCATAGAATTTATTGCTACATCTAGCCAGCTCAACAGTAAATTGATAAGATCTCAATGCCAGTCTAGTACTGCACTTAAATTCAAAAGGTCTAGGTACCATAGTGAAGAGCTCATCTAAATAATTACCATGAAAGTATTTATAAAAAAAGTAGAGAGAGGCAACCTTATGGCAGTGGGAAAGTGACTGAAGCTGAGCTGCCAGATCAGGACCAATAATATTGCTGATTCTTCTTTGGATTTTATCAAGGAGCTCAAAGTAAATAGCAAAGGCACTGGACTATATGTGGCAGCAATATTCTAAGCAAAGACGAATAATAGACTTATAGATGTAATGTATAACAATATCATTATATCATAATATAACTAGCCCAAATTAGATATGCGTAAGGAGTCCTGTATTAAAAATGAATTCTTACAGCTAATTAACATTTCCTAAATAACGATGTATAAAAATGAAATGAAAACTGTTGTAAATAAATACAAAATAAATGAAAATGAAATTAAATCAAATATGAAATCAATGATGAAGGATCATTATAATCATTGTAGTCTTCATCATGGTCAGCAGCACCAAAATGAAGAAAAGTTCAATATAAATGATAATAGTAAATAAAATAATAATAATAATAGAAAAAAATTATATTGGACCTTGTCAGTTTGGGCACAAGGCTACATTTCTGAAGCACCCTGTGAAAATTAAATTCCGTCACCATACACTTGCATCTCAAATAAGAAAATCAAAGAAAGACATTTAAAAATTTGTTTCATTTCAAATTAGAATTTAAAGAAAATATAATGATTAACTGTGGTGAAATAGTAAAAAAAAAAATTACTGGAAAGTCTTCTACAAAAATTCATAATTTACTGAGAACAGAATTAAATTGATTTAAAATCTTAAAATAAACTCATCAAGTTTTATTATACAGAATTTATAAGGTTAATTTTAGATGAAAGCCTAATCACAAATGTTAATTCAATTTAAAAAGAATATTTTTACAGCTTTTTAGATAACTTTACAAAACTAATTACATGTTTTTACTGGCATGGAAAATTCATCTAAACTCTGAAAATATTTACTGGTTCTTAATTAGATTTATCAATTCTTTTAAGGTGAAACAATCAATTATTCAAAACTAGTTATATAACCAGTAAACTCCTCACCAATATTTCATGCAATAAAAAGTACAGAATATATGCTGTGCAAATCTATATACCAGATTGTTAGTGGGTAACTGAATGACAGCAAGGAAAAACTAAAAGTAATGCATTTCCTCTACCAAAGGAAATTTATTATTTTTAGTTAATAATAATGGATCAATGAGGCAATCATATATATATAGGGTGGGTGAGAAATATAAAAACTACCAGTTACAATTTGACTTTGTAATGTAAAAATACAGGGAAGTCAAAAATCAAAATTTGAAACTAAGCATAACATTATCATTAACATTGTCAATAGAAAATAATAACTGTTGTATTTCTCTCCAGCCTTATACACACATTACATATATATATATATATATATATATATATATATATATATATATATATATATATATATATATAAGAGAGAAAGAGAAAATATTAGTGGCCAGTATATATATATATATATATATATATATATATTTCCAAAAGGATGAAATCCAGGTAGAGCTCTATGTACAAGACAGATCAAGAATATAATATAAAAGGCTCAAACACTCAGTCAGTCAATTATGTGCCATGAGTGATACATGCTTAGGCAATCATGTATCTTTTGATACATGACTGACAAGGCAGATTTTTTTTCCTGCAGTAGGTTGCAATTTCTTTCTGCGGTAGACCAGTTGTCATCCAAGGCTATAGAACAAACCTGGTCTGTCCTGCT